GGTGTGGTCTTAGTGACGTAAGAGGTTATTAAAAGTCAAGGAGAAAGAGTAGATTGTTTTAAGAACAGAAAAAAAGATGTTTTGAAGAAATTAGACTTTTTGGTGCCAGTCCTCCTTCTATCTGTCTGATAGAGATAAACATGACATTTCTTTCCAGTAAACATGTTTTTGACCGAAACTTGACTTCTGACCCACATCACGACTTGCTCATTTCAGACAGAAGATCAAAAATGCATAATTACTCTTGTAACAGACATTAACTTGATTTCTACTTTGAATGAGGATTAAAAATCATTTATACTGTTTCACGGTTGATTTAAAATGAGTAGTTCACTTCAACATTTAAAATGGTTTGAACTAAACACACTTTTGATTATCAAGATATTGTAAAATAGTAATGATAATAAAAAGAGAGTGTTCTTTCAATTGATCAGTGCAGGACACACTTAGAAAGTCTCTGGATGAACTCAATTTTGTGTTTCTGGACTCAAATCAATGAAATAACAGTTCTTGTCCCAGGAAGGCCCTCAGGGTCAGGACTTGACCTGAGGCTTAGTTCACTACATAGGAAATAAATATCAAACACCAGGGCAAAATAAAAGGGAAAACAAACAAACACAGGGAAGCTTTAAGCTTCGGGGTCTCCAAGGCCAAAATAATAAACAAAACACACCCTTTCAACTATGAAAATAAAATACCACTAGCTAGAAGTAAACTTAAAAGTACAAAGGCTGAGCTCCCTGGCTATCCACAAAACAGGAGAAAAAGGTTTGTAACAAAAATGTCAGAGAACCCCTACCATCTTCCACTGTGAAAACTAAACACTTTCCTTTACAGCTATTCAATCAATTGCTCACACAGTACTTGTATTACAACAATCTGCCCAAAAGTGTATCACTTCACTTCCGGCGAGCTGATAGACGGCAGCTCCCTCCAGCTTCTCTGCAGTCTTTTATCATCAAACTGACCCATTTTTTTCGAAACGGACTAAAGTTGGTCCTCCTTCGAACCCGAATTATCTGTTTCTGTTTCGGCCTGTTGATTCTGGACCCAGCTTCTGTTTCCCATGGGAGCATCCATCCATCCATCTATCTTCACTGGGGGGGCCGGAGCCCCCCTCAGCCCAACTCAAGCTGCAGTTGGGCCACATCGTCGGGTTTGTTTGCCCATTTGAACTGTGGCGTTTTATGGTCTGAGACTTTTCTGCATCATTCATATTATTGTCATTATTTTCAGTTCTCAGATTATCTGGAGTCAATGAATCTTGTTAATACACCTGAATCTGCCCATCACTGCAACTTTCACTGTTTTTGGGTTCTGAATGATCGCGTCTTCATTTATGTTTTGCATGGTTCGATTATGGGGGCTAATTGTCACACTGTTAACGCCTGTAATTACACATCAGTCACAAAAAACTCAAGAAAATGTCTGATAATAATGTTGTTATTGCTCTCAGGGATTCAGCCCAACCCTGGACCCCCCACTAATTACAGCACACCAAATGACTTTAAGAACATGTCTGGGCTTCATTTTCTGCATGTAAATGCTCGTAGCCTTCTGAGAAATTTGATGCCTTGAAAATTCTGGTCAGTTCTTCTGGGGCAGATGTTATCTTCATCTCTGAAACCTGGCTCAACAAATCTGTACTCAATAATGACCTGGCAATCAATGGATTTAACATCCACCGCTGTGATCGTCAAAAAAAAAAGGGGGGGGGGGTCGCTGTTTACATCAGAGATTCTTTGGTTGCTAGTCTTGTGTCTTCTAAAACAATTCCAAACCAGTTTGAAGCCTTATCTCTAGACATCACCTTGAATGGAGGCGAGATCTTAACTGTAGTTTGCCGTTACCGCCCACCTTCAGCAACACCTGAGGCTCTGTCCTCCCTGATGGAATTTCTTGGTAATTTAAAATTCAAAGAGATCCTTTTGGCTGGAGACCTCAACATTGATTGGTGTAAGTTGACCCCCCTCTGTGATAAATTCAAGAAATGTTGCCAGTCTCTCAATCTTTTCCAATTGATCGACTCTCCCACTAGTTTATACAAAAACCGTCCAGAAAAATCCTCCATCTTAGACCTATTTCTAACTAATATGCCTCACAAATTCCCTGGTACAGGTGTATTCGCTGATATTTTGAGTGATCATTGTGTGACAGCTGCTTTGAGAGATATTAAACTTCCACCTTCTAAGCCCAGATTAATTCAAAAAAGGGATCTGAAACATTTTTGTGAACAGTCATTCCTCTGGGACCTGTCTCACTTTGACTGGCATCGTATTCTGTTAACTGATGACGTGAACTCCGCTTGGAACTATTTTCATAATAGTTTAATTTATTATGTGAACAAACATGCTCCTTTTCTTCAGTTCAGAATAAAGGGACGAGACAGCCCCTGGTTTACTCCAGAGCTAGCTGACCTCCTGCACAGGAGAGATCATCTTTGGGCCACAGCGAGAAAATCTGACTCAGACACTGATTGGTTGAGTTTTCGACAGATGAGGAATAAATGCACAACTGTTGTCAAAGCAGCAAAACGCAACTATTTCTTATCTCAGACCTCCAAAATTCTAAATGACCCCAACAGATTCTGGAAAACCATCAAATCTCTCTCAGGCACCACCCAATCATCTGACCTCC